AATTTACTTTTTCCCCACCATCAACCAAAATCTTGTTGATCCCTACTCCTTCCATCTTTCCTCTTATAAATAGAGGGTTCATATGGTTCTTCATTGACTGATCAGGATGTTCAAAAAAGCGTTTTGCTCTTCCACGGTGTCGTTATTCAAGATATAGTAACACACAGGTTTGTGCCTAGACATTTCAGCCTCATCCACTTCTCTGGAATTCTCCACTTCCATCACTTGATCATATTCATGTGGAAGTATAGACACCACGTTACAATTGACGTTAAGTGAAGACTCCCCATCTGATTCAAAATCATCTGTCATCACGTCGTCATCATTGGTTGGATACTTTTGGAATTTTTCTCCAATTATCTCCTTCTTTGGGGAAAAAAGTCTTCTTTCAACAGGTTGTTTCTTTTCAGCGATGTTTGTTGGGGGACACTGATTGATGCTTGACTCCCCTATTTCCTTTTCTGCTAACTCCTTGTGAGCCTTCTTATTCCATTGGTGCATGTGCCACATGGTCCTGGTCATTGGATTTTTTCCTTGTAAAATCAAATCTAAATGTTTGTTGTCTTGATATCTAGAACTCTTTCCTGTAAGCAATTGATCGTCCTCTTCCCAGCTTGAAACTCTTCCATGTTCCTTGTCCTGCACTTTTATTTTCATTTGGCTTAGTCCATTTATCAATAGGGATATTTGCTGGGAGTTTGAATGTAACCCTTCAATTTGCTTTAGGATGTGGGCTATCATCCCTTCTTGGAACTCCCCTTTTGTCAAAAGTGAAACTGATATGTTGGCTTATCCAATTACCCATAGTTTGGGCATAATGGATTCATTCGTACTCCTATAACGCCTTTCGATCATAGACAGTGTTGCACCTAGGGTACATTAAGCATTCTGATTGCATTTTATGGTAATGGACAAGAAAACCTAGCAAACTTTCGCCAGCTCTTAGGTAGACCATCTCCATCAAATCATCCTTCCTCCAACTTCCCCCAGTTCAAGCCTGTTGGGTTTGTTGATAAACCTCTGCTGCTTTTTTACCATAAATGATACTGCATCTTGGGCACACAATCCTTCGAAGTTCTTTTTGTGGCAACGAGCCAAAAATAGTCCAACAAGCTTTCTCCAACTTTTGGGTAGGTTTTGTTCAATATGGCATTATCTCTTTGGAGATTCCTTTCGACTTCTTCCATTTCTGGGGCAGGATGGTTTAAATCCACCATGTTGACTTTGACATTAGGACCATCAATAATCTCAATCTCCTCAAACTTAACTCTGAGACATTCAGTGGTCTTCAACATTTCAACATTTGGCACAACATTCTCAGTAATGTTTCCTTCTAATTTCTAGTTCATTAAACCCTCAACAGTCTGGTTTGCAGGTTACTCATTGGAGAGGCCCTCAATAGCCTCTTTTATTTTAGCATTTGGATCAACTTTGTCAACAATCTCCACCATGTTGATAGAAACTAGTTCAACATAGTTAGTTTCCGCTGCATTTAACGGATCAACATCAACCTTCATTTGTGGCTTGGTTTTGTCACCAAACTTCAGTCTTCCTTCCTTGATGGCATTTTGAATCAGATCCCTGAAAAGGAAACATTGTGAGATTTTATGCCCTAAAAATTATGATATTTACAAAACCTCTTTTCTTTCGTTGATCTAACGGGGAAATTTTAGCACCAGGTGATACTATCATTTGACCATCTTTTACTAATAAATCAAATATTTCGTCACATTTCATGATGTCGAAGGTATATGTCTTTTTTGGGAATTTATCATTCTTTTCAGGCTCGACAGGATTTTTTCTCTTCGAATGAGCCAGGACTTTACAAGGATATAGTGGTCCCTATTTTAACTCAGCCAAATCGACTTCAACTTCTTTGAAGTCAGGGAGTTCAGTATAGGTTTCTTGTTCGTCTTCCTTTACTTCGACGTATGCCACACTTTCCATTCGATGACTCTTGTTCGCTCTGGCCTTTTTGACCTTCAAGCGCTCCACTTGTTGAATCCTATCTGCCAATTGGGCCATATCCCTTAAGTAATGGGGATCCAATTTCTTTCTGATGAAGAAATTCAATCCTCTTGCATCCATCTCAACTAATTCATGTTATGGTACTTGGGTGAAACATATTTCCTTTAGCAGGAAGAATCTATTGAGATAATCATCAATTGGCTCACTAAACTTGTGCTTAATGCTAGCCAATTCACTGAGACTTATCTTCGATTGACCTACATAAATTTTTTCATGAAATAGCCTTTCTAAACGCGTTCAATCTTGGATGGAATTTTCTGCAAGGATAGTAAATCATGTGAAAGCATTTTTGGTCACTGGAGTAGGAAAATATTTTATCCTTAGGTTTTCATTGTTCGCTATATCCCTGACCTCAATAAGATAACTGGCTATGTGTTCGACAGTTGATTCACTGGTGTCACCAGAGAATTTTATGAACTTTAGGACTTTTTAACCCCTAGGAAATTCAGTTTGTATAATATATTCAAATAAAGGATAAGTATAATTTGGCCTAATAAGTCCTACATTTACACCATTTTATGTCATAATTCTTTCGACCATGGCTGCCAGATTGTTGTCTGCTGCCATATTGTCCTGTCGAACTTGGTATAAAACTTCATCAATATTTTGGTTTCTATTTACCATCATAACCCTAGGTTCTGGTTTCCTTAACACTTGTGGTTCTTGCCTAAAGGGTTCAACCCTAGGTATTTCAACATTCGCACCTCTAGGCCTTTCGACCATTCCTCCATGATTTACCATATTCTCCTAGGGTACATTTCTTTGATTTTGTTGATCTTGGTTAATTGTTGGGTCTTCTTCTAAGATTACCCCTTAATTTTCCCTAATCCACTCCCTCTGAGAATGTGTTATTGGTTGGGGCACATCAAAGAAATTAGCGATGCGCGTCAGTTACGCAACCATTTGTTGGTTCGCATGAGTAGTGTTTTGAATCAAAGGTTAAAGATTGTACCCATTATTTATGCAAGCATTTGAACCATTTCATGTTTACTCTCGTTTATTTGTTGTCTAATTACTGTTGTAAATTGATTTGTTAGGTTTAGTAATTAAGAAGAAACTTCTTCGATTTGTGGTTGCACGTTTCGACCCTTGTTATTAATCGCAGATCCAGGACATTGTAATGGCGAAGTTACGTTCATCACAAGATCTGAATATATTGAAGTAGAATTATGTAAGCACATCATAAATGAAGATGGTATGCCATAAGTCCGCTCACGGCCATTTTGAGGCATGGAAAAACCAGGTGGCCCCTGAGGCCTATGGAAAACATTTCCCCTTGAAGGGGGGGGGGGGTTCTTTGTGAACCCTGAGGGCCTATATAAGTTAAAAGAGGGCCCGTGTAAGTATTCAACGGTGTTGGTGTCGAACTTGTTGATGACGGTATGGCCTCAGAAGAAGGCGCGAGAACCGTTTTCCCTCTGTAGAAGTGACTGGGGGTGGTACTTCATCATTGTTAGGAGGATTTTGATTACTTTTCTGTCTTGGATTCGCTATTTTCCTAACATACTTTCTTTTGGGTATATCCTTGTTGTTTGTGGCTAATTTATCACTCCTAAGTCTCATACAACACAGAAAAATACAGAAAGATAATGAAGATTTTCAAAAACTTTTTTATTGGAATAGAAAAATAAAAGAAATATTGAACACATATCTCACTGAGTGTGCCAATTTATTTATCGTGAAATTCGGTAAATAACTGTTGGTCTTCCAAGTCAAATAAAAATGGTAGCTCGTAGGATCGACCAGATTGATCCTAAGTATATGTGTTCTCATTCAAAACTTCTATTCTTAAAACGAAAAGTGTTTTCGACAACATCTTCATTCTTTTAGACAAATATTATTTCAATTGTTACTTCGTAAATAGTAAGGTAATATTTTTAAAGAAAAGACTGGAATGTAAAGAGATTTCGACTGAAATTTAAAGGAATGTATAAAGCTTTCAATTAAAGTTGGATACAATAAACATAAAATTGATGCATCATACGTACATTCTCACAAACTCGTTTCTCTAACGCTTGTACTTTGAGTAATTTTGAGTATTTTGTACAAAGATGTGAACACAATGAATCCTAACACTAAGACCCCTATTTATACTAATTTCGACCAAACTGTCTCTAAATAATATGTTGCCACGTTCGACATTTGCATGCGCCTTCGAATTCTAAGCTTCCACGCGTCTCTTTGGATAAGATCAATCTTTTGAATTTGAAAACTTCTTATTTTCAAACGCCAAACGTGACGGTCGAAATATGCTTAATGATATTTTGAATAACTTAAAATCTCTATGGTTCGCGTACGAACCTTTTACCAACACTTAGCAAAAAAACAAAGTTTTTATTAGCTCTTCATCTGTCAAAATCTTCACACAAACTCCTTTATTCTTTCTTTCGAACTATATTCGCTAAAATATATTATTTCAACTAAAATTCATGTAGTCGAAATTTCCAATCAACAGATATATTTATGGATGAATTTGTCGTCTTGATCCATGGTAGGAAGGATCAATTGGGGACAACGAATGAAAAGAAAAAAAAGAATGGAATGTGGAAGAGAAAAAAAATATGTTTTTAGAATTTATCAAGTGATTCTGTTACTTTCATATAATAAATTAACTATACTCAAGAGTCAAATCCAAAGATCAACTATGACCATAATTTGGAGGGGGAAAATTGGCTTATATAAAATTTTGCTATAAACTAGAGTTTTTATATAAACTAATCTTTCACTTGAAACAATAGATAAAGGAAAAGAGTATGAATGCAAGATATCCATAAAATTGAATCATTAACTTCACAAAAACTCAAACTAGTTGTATGATACATGTTTAAATGTAATATATTACATAACATTTGAAAGACACCAAAACTCTACACAACAATAATCAAATCCAAAGAAAAACACAAAATGTAGCTCATATTTGTGTCTCCAAAGAGAGAAATAAAACTTAAACACAGCTACACAAGAATAACTCTCTAGCTGCATCTACTAGGAGCAAATGAAACTGTGTTTTGGTACACATCAATTTGCCAAAGGTGACTTTGTTGCATAATGTTCCCAATAACAGAAACACCTGTTCCATTTATTGGCACAAATCCAAGACACTTGACATTTGGTCCAAAATCAATGATATAACTTCTCACTGGTGGTGCAAATGTCACTCCTCCACCAAAATGGAACACTAAACTTGGCACAGAACTCGCTTCAAAGCCTTCACTATCAAAGCAAAAGTCCAAATCAGCTAAACTTTTATCAACCTTTTTCAAATGGCTCAAAGACTTCGTCAATGCCTCAACAACAGGTTCATACGCGTCGAGAACAAGGGCTGCTAATGTTGTTCCCGAATCAATTATCATGCCGCCTTGAGCTTCGAAATCCCAAACACTAGGCGGGATATTCAGCATTTCGCGGCCTATCGATATTCCGGTCACATTCACACCATAGAATGGTTGGTACAGAAAAAGTTCTGTTGTTTTCTTCTCAGCCAATAACTTCACTTTTGGATTTCCAAATGTTAGGTAGCTTGAAACATTTCTGTGACTCAAATGGTCAACAAGACAATAGGAGAATTTTGTGTTATATTTTAGACTTGCTTTATCAACAAATGACCCTTTTGCAAAGCCTAAACCTAATATTCCACCTGTGTTTTCATTGAATGTGATACCATTAAGCACTGATTCTGTGCAACCAATTGTTAGATTTTCAAGTTTTCCTTTCCTTCCATTTGTTAGGTTTAATGATAATGTGTCAATTCCAAAGAATCCTGTAGCAGATGATCCATCAGCATAGCTGTCAAAGATAAGATCTTTTTTAGATAACTCAATAATACAACATTTTCTGACAAAATAAATAAAGTTTAAACAATCCCTTAAATGTGTTCAATGTCGTAGACATTGACCCCACACACTGAATATTAATATCTAGTAGAATTCTAATCTCAAATATTCAGAGAAACACATTCTCAGGTCTCAGACATTTAGAAGAGTAAACTCTCAGGTCTCAAGTTTTTACCGTTAGTTTAATTGTGATTGGAAAAAATTAATACGAAAGAAAAAGAAATATCTAGATGTGGTTGTCTAGGTGAAAAGAGTAAAAGGTTGGGCTATTTGCATGCACAAATTTAACAAAGAGACTTATGTTCCTGTATGCCATAGATGAAGAAATGTGGGACATGTGATGTTACCTACCAACATTAATTCTCATTTATAACCAATGGTTGGATGCTGGAAAGAATGGTTGCTGGGTCATATTTTTGTGTTTATATCTATGTATCAAAAGTACTTTCTAATTAAGTCTTTTAGATTTTTGTTTTTCAGGAAAAAAATATAGAATCAAACACATTTATATCTTTGATTTCTAATGCCTATATACAGGGTTTTTATTAATGTACCATCACTCCTATGAGAACTTTAAATGCTTTGCAGGACTAGAAAATTTTATCATCTTTTATGTCTAGATATATTTCAAAAACTCTACTCGACATCACTCAACCGGTTGAACCGTGAATCAGAGTTAAATCTTGAAACTTAAATGTTTCAGAAGATTTTTTTTTCATAATGTAAAAGACTAGAAATGTATTGTGCAACTAATAACATCATTTGAAACTTTTAATAAACCAAACAATTGAAAACATTGGATACCATAGAGAAAGTCATTGTGGTTGGAGTAAAGTCATGAAATGTTTAAATTTAAGTCATACTAAAAAAAAAGAGAATAATATTAAAATGCAATTAAATTCAAACATGCATCAAAAGAGACAAGTTCCATAATATTTGTTTGGTTTCAGTAAATATTTTTTTTCAACTCATAATAAATATCATGCTCTTCCTTCAACTGTCTTAGTTTGTCATCTCCCTTTCCCACATATGAGAAGCTAAATTTTTACACTATGTCCAAAAAGACAGCCTTTAATTTCTCTTTTCTCTCTCTTTCACGTGCCTAATTCATCAACACTTGTTTCACTTTCCATAAAAAAGTAAAAAGAAAAAACTTTGATTTGCATCGATGTTTGTTACAAAATTGTATTTCTTTCTGTGAAAATTTTTATGTTCAAGACAACCCTATTAGTTTCTTTCCATCAAAAAATCAAATTCAAGAACAACACAAATAATAATCAAAATTTTCCAACACCCCATTAAAAAAAAATCAAATTTTTCCAACACCCCATGAAAAAAATTAAATTTTTACAACACCCCATAAAAAAAAATTAAATTTTGACATGACCCAAATAAAAATTAAGCAAGAAAAAGTCAAGAAAAGGAAGAGAGTTTAGAAACCTGATATCAAAAAGGCATGGATCAGAATTGTTAGGACAATAGCTAAGAGAGAAAACTCCACTTAGATCTTGTGTGCAGATTTTAGATGAACAAGGAAGTTTTAGAAATGTACGAGAACGATGTGGACAAAAAATACCATTACAAGGATCATTAGGATCATCCTTTGCTGTTCTTGATTTGGGTTGTCTTGATTTAGTTTTTTTCTTAGACTTTGTCTTTGACCCTCCTTTGTGTTTATGTTTATGTTTATGTTTAGCATGATGCTGATGATGATGGGGGTGGTGGTGATGTTTATGATGTGGTTTATGTTGAGGATGATTGTCGATAGCAGGATGAGAATTAGGAATGCTATTAAACCATGTTAACTCACTTCCTGTATCAGCCACAAGCCAAAAGCTTTGTCCTGGCGTTCCAACTTCAACTTCAACAAAATATTCACCAACAGCATAATCTCTACCAGAATGCATTGGCATTTGGAATTCCTTTCTGACTTCCATGTCTTTCCTTCTATGATGATATTGATTGATTCCCTTCCTTTGATTCATTTGCTGCCTTCTCAACAAATCTCTTTGAATGAAACCTTTCATTGCTTGAACTTGATCTACAGCATCACCACCAAATCTAGAATCATGCCTATGCACAAGCTCTAGACTCAACATTTCATTCTCTTCATTCTCATCAGCGCCATAGGAATTATCAGCAACAATGAGTTGAATCAACAAAAGGGTCATGATAATTTGAATCCATTTCCTCTTCATTTGCATAGATATAGGAGAATGTATGCAAAATGTTAGAATGGTATAGAGAGGTAGATTGTGATAGAGATATTGATATTTGTACCTTTGTTTTAGAACCACAAACTCAAATTTTAACAAAGGGTTGTAATGAAGTTATGAATCAGAGGGCGAGAAAAAGAGAGAGAAGAAAGAGGCTAGAAATTAGAGGGAGTTTATGCTGGTTTTGTCGTTGAGATTGGTTCTTTTTACTATGCTAGGTGTGTTGTGGGGGATGGAAAACAAACAAAGCAACAAATATATATAATATATATAATATACAAAATAAATAAATAGATAAATGTATCAGATTTTTGAAAGGAACATAACAAAAAGTGTAGGGCCTTTATTTTCTCCTTTTTTGTTAAGCATCTCTTTTTCTCTCTCTATATATATATATATATAATTTCTTGATTATATATGCCAAAACAACTAAACTTTTGATATGGGAAAGAAGATCAATTATTATTGTTATGAAAGAGATTAAGGGTTGGAACTTTATTGCTTAAAATCTGTTCTATCGTTTAACAAATTAACAAATAATATTAGTATATAAAAAATATTGATTAATCTCTTTCAAAATTTTAATACTATTTAAAGGATACTATACTCATGCAAGATGAATTGACCTTATACTTAAATAAAATGTTAGATTTGAGTCAGGTGAATAGAAGAAATACGAGAAGACACTATGCTAGAAATAACTTACGAAAGCGCTTTTTTTGGGCTTTAAAAGCGCTCTCGTAGGTGGCGCTGCTAAAGGTTTTAGCAGCGCTTTTTGTTCAGAAAAAAGCGCTTTCATAGGTGTATTCAGAATGCGTGTCAGCAATCTAAAGTAGGCCTATAAGAGCGTTTTTTGTTCAGAAAAAAGCGCTTTCATAGGTTTTCTACTGAAAAATCTAAAATTTTAAAAATTTCTAAACCTGCATTTTTTTGCAGCAAACCTGTAATTCTTAAACCGATATTTTACAATCTAATCTAGAAATACCAATATATATTAGTTTTAATCCAAATACCAAATGTAATTCAAATACCAAATATTATATATATATATATATATATACAAATACCATTATAATCAATTCATATCCAAAATATATATACACCATGGTAATTCAATATTAACATGTTTTTAAACGTAACAAAATACACCCTAAGAAATCAGCTATATAACACTAAGTAAATCAATCCTAATCTACATATATATCCAAGGTCCTGATCCTGCAATATGAACATAATAACACGGTCAGTGTTGTATACACAAAACAATATATTCATAATTAACCAATTTTCACACAACAATGTATTCGTACCTTATTATAAGATTCTTAGCTCAATAAAATATTGGCACAACTCCTCTTTGAGTTCTTCCAATTGACGTGGCGAGTAATATGGACAATTGTATTGATCAAAATACTACATTACAAAACAAAATATATGCATGATTTAGTTTAATGTAACAAATTATATGCAAAATCCGATAAGTAATAAAATAAAGTATAAATCCATACCGTGATTGGAATCTCGATTTCATTCATTTGAATGATTTCTTTGATAAACTTCAAAATGAAGTATCCGCAATCTATGTCGTTTTGTTGTTGAGGGCACTACATAGAAAACCAAATAAGATTATACACATCTATTGATTTATCAAGTAGCATAAATATTATAAGCAAAATTGTTGAAATTTATATACCTGTACTTTGATCCAATTAATGTTGTTTGATTTAGACCGTGGTACTCGTTCTTCCCTTTGACATCGGAATACTTGTATTGAACTGATGACAAAATAAAATATTTATTTAGAACAATGACATTAAAATAATTAAATATATAAACACAAACGAATATTTAGAATAATGTCACTTACGTATCAATCAATAGCTTCATTTCCAGATAATTTGTCCAATCACCGTCAACCGAATTCAGGTAATAGACCACTTCTTTTATGGGATTGATTGCAAGCAACAACCAGTGACATCTATAAATTAAAGCAACAATTTAGAAGCGAATTTTAATGAAAAAAATACAAATATTAAAAGGAGCTTATAATGAAAATCTAACCCTGTATTATAAGGCAAAAGATACAAGCTCTCTGTACTGGCAGTTGTCATGAATCTTTCGACCAAGTGTTCTCTTACTGAATCAGGTTCCCTAGAAATTGTTGCTCCACTGACACGGGAGGAAGACACGAAATGGAATCTATTTGACAATTGATTCCCGCGCATCAATTTTTCAAATAACATCCTTAAATAAAAACATAATTAATATTAGACTATTTCAATTAAATGTTTAAAAAAAATGTTCAACCAATTAAATAATATATTGATCGGGTTACCGGATGTACGAGTGCATCACACTGATGCCTAACTCTCGATGATGAAAGATTCGTTCCATGTTCTCTAATCCAATTGTTTCGGTACATGGAAAATCAAAGACAATTTCATCCATATCGATTTGACGAATTCCATCATTCATCAAATCTGATGTGCCAACTAGTGTCTCCAGACACTGTCGATACCTAGGCACAAATTTACGGACAGGAACCTTCTTCTTAGGTGGAACCCTACTAACTTTCTGGCTCACCTGTTGTGACTGATCTTGAGAAGGTACCTTAAAAATCATATAGAATTATGTAAGATACAAAGTTATGCAGTTTTTTATTCCGATCATAAATGAAACACTTTAAAAGTACCTGTCCTTGCGATGCAATAGACTCGCCGCGCTGAAAAATCCCTTTATCCTTAGATGCGGGTTTTGCAGGAGTCTAAAATTACCATGTATAAAATTCAGGTCAGAACTGTCAGTTGAATACTTAAAGATTCATAATGGTTTTCAACATACCTGATCATCTATGCAGATGAGGTCTGATGGCCATGCCACAAAAGATCCTACTGCATCTCGCAACAATGTGGTCTCCGCAACAATGTCAGGTACCGGTAGCAATGCATTTATATCTAAAACAACATCAACCGATACCTTCATGTGGCCATCCGGGAGCGGTCTATGGTGAATTAAATCTCCTGAGGTGTTGTGCACTTTTCCCTTGCCAACTACCCGATAAGTCGGAGACGCTAGATACAGCTGACAACATGAAATGCCCTAAACCAATAATAACCGTTAGACTTCCTTTAATGTTGACAATAATAACCGTTATAATTATACTTTCTCTAAATATAATGGATTATCATCTTAATTACCTCGGGAAAATTTTGTTGACAATTGATACTAGCCTTGTCACTAGTTTCTTTCAACTGTGAACTGCTCCTTTCTGCCATATATCTCTCTTTGTCCCTCTGCAGTTCACGGACTTGTGCTTGTAAATCCTGCAATGTTTGCATCACTTCTGCATTGCTAGGATTTCTTTTTCTTGGATTGTTATACAGAGAGGTAGGAGTCACACAATGGCCTTTACCCCTCACTCGTCCCGGATACTCAGCAACACATAGTGCTCGACTGAGTACGCTCCTGATATCCCGGTCATCACCCGTGGATACCGATTGCGATATAGTCTCCTGTAATTCATTTAAATATCGATAATTAAAGACACGACGTTAATTATATATTAATTAAAGACATAATGGTATACTTACACACTCATCATAAATATGTTGCAGATCGGGGTTAACAACTTGATCTCTGCCAACACGAGCTTCCTTCCACAGCACATGTGCATGTAGTGATGTTTCGTCACTCTGCGTCTCCTCCAACTACGCATTGTTACAAATAATAAAATCATCAATACACATTGTTACAAATTAATAATACACATTGAGATAATTAATAAGATCGTAGAATTGAGATTTACTTACAATTTTTTCCTGTAAGCGTGCATATCCCAAACGACCTTTTTTATATGGATATGCGGGTTTTGACGCTCTATCCCGATTTACAGCACTCACTTTCTTGAAATTCTCGTCTCTTCTTTGGCCCACAAAAGCAACCCATTCTTCGGGTGTAATGAAGCTCTCATATTTATTTGGTCGTTCAGGATCCTCTTCAACAAAATTTCCTTCATCGTCTTTAAGAAACTTATTTGTCAAAAAATTTCTCCACCCTATATGTCTTTTTCCGGCCAAGCCCATTATATACTTTTTTGCGGGCATCTTCAATGTTAAAAGACCCCTACAAAAAAACATACGTATAGAGGGTGTTAGTATATGTAATTTAAAAACAATATTTTCGTCAAAATAAAGCAAATAACAACAACCATATATGATACCTTTATCTCGGTCCAAATTCTTTCTTTAGCATCCAACTCTCCTTTTTTCCAGCTAGGAGTGGTGATCGGAATGTGCATACGAACAAGCGTACCGATGTAGCTTGTCAGCTTTGCAGAATTAGGCCCAATTAGTTGGTCATCATTATTCCAATCTACATTATACTTAATACCTCTATCTCTATCACGGATGATTCCCCGCATGATAGTTATGCCTCGTGTGATGTCCTTATCTGAAGTGTCTTGTGGAACATTATCTTGTGGAACATCTCCTTGTGGAACATTTTCTGAATTATCTTGTGGAACATCTCCTTGTGGAACATTGTGATACATTTTCTGTCAAAACGCAAAGTATACACGGAATGAATCCGTATCAAGAAAATGTAACATACGAAAGACAATTTAAGACAAATTTATCACAATATATACCAGTAATTTGAGGAAGAAAGTTACCTCTCAGATGTTTCGAACTCTAAGAAACACGGAGAATGAGCGTCGTACGTCGAACTAGGCCGGGAAACGCTGCAAATTCATAGAATGTTATTCAATATAATCCAAAACACAAACCATTTCAATGTTACCACCAAAATTATGTAGCATGCACCCGGAGAAATAAAACATACATCAACCCACAAGTAAGAAACATATAAACAAAAAATAAGTAGAATGTGCGTAAGTTTCTTCCTGTATCATAACGTTGGTGTTTTCCAACAAGAATCCAAACATATACTAACAGCATTATCTATCCCTAGAAATACTCAGATAATGGAAG